ATACAACAAGGAAGAAAAGAAAACAAAAAAACAGACGCGCATATACTACTACAATGCTCCGGCATGGCTAACTACACCATGAAGTACCTTGGAGTGAGGCGGTCGCTCCTAAAAGTCTACAGCAGACCAGCGACGAAGCTCGGGTGGCACGAATAGGAACCCGCGTCCACCACATGCAAAGTAAGCACCAAGACGTCGAATTTCGACCTCCATTACCTTAAAATCCTTGCTTAAAAATAAGACTTATGATGATACAGACTTGCTAGAAGTTATTTCTGAATTATATTTATATTTTCTATTTATATTATAGAACTAACAAATACCAAATTGTCTTATTGTTAAATAAATTTAGTAAATCTGTTTTTAGGCTTCAATACATTGACTTACAATTATATGGACGTCGGGTCCGCGCTAAAAAGTGTCCGAACTTATAGGGCGTTAAAATCGTATACAGAACGTCATTCACGCTTTAGTCTTCGTTTGTTCGACTGACAGCGAAGCAAGCAAAATTAGACAGTACTGCGATGACATTACAATTTAAATTCAACGTTTTAGCTTTTTCATGTTCCTTTACATGTCACTACGTTTAAATAGGATGACTTGGGACATTTTTTTCGTGGTTTTTGTTTTAGACCCGTCGTCCATTTATTTGTAAGTCAATGCTTCAATATAAAGAAAATATGCGCAAAGAAGATGCCTAAAATTCTTACTTAGTTAACGCATCGCAACTACACTTGATTAGAGGAGATTAGATCAAAGGTCTAAGATTTAATTGTATAGCTTTAAGAAGATTGCGTAATAATTAAAGCTCCTTTTTTAGTGTGTATCTTACTGTGGCACCCTTGACATTTGTTTTACTTGTATTAAGTTTAGAGGATAGAAAATAAATTAAGCTTGTAGTCTAAGGTCTTAATGAAATCAAAGTCAAATAATGATTTATTCCACAGGTAAAATTTCTACACTTGAAAACGTCATTTATATAAACTACTGCTCGTTCACTGTGCGGACTTCCCTGAGAAAAACGAGAAAGAAACTCTAGGGATTGCTCGTTTCAAATAAACTTAATTGGAATACACTTTTAATAATATTTATGCGGGATCTAGATTCGTGTCGTCTTTCAAAACATCTTTGTTTAACACGTAGTCTGAAATTTTGCAATATGACTTTTCAATTAAAATTACTTTTGATGTAAGTTTTAAACTTAGGAAATTATAGTGTTTTTATTGTAAATACGTATACAGTTCTCCACAAAATAATAGTTTATCTTAGTTAAACGAAGTCGTGGCACCATGAGTTTGGACTTACTTCTAAGGTTGATATCTTCTTTCTTAATGAAATTATGCATATTTTTACGGGCATAGAAAAATATTGAGTAAATGTTCTGTGATGCCACAGTCATGATACCGGTCTCCTTAACCTTTTGTCTGAGAGAAACCCGAGAACCTTTAAATATGGACCGGTACTTGGGATTTAATTTAATAACACTTTTTTCGCGTTCATGATAATTATAAAGTCCTACACACACTTTCAATTCAAAAATACCGGCACACGGCGTACACACGATCGGACAAAAACATCGCGTTTTTGCACCCTGCGCCGGCGCTTCCTACGGAAGTACGTGCGAATAGGACGCAAGATACCGCAGCCAATGGTAATGAGTAGGACGGACATCGTGGGAAACACAGGGGTGGCGGTATCCCATACGAGCATTCAAGTGGCACGACCATGTAGTATTATGTTTATTGTATTTTTTTTACTACGCCACCCTTTGTGAATTATCAAAGTTTAGCTGGACATCTGGCCTCTGGTCGCGCATTTTAATTGCGATAATCGACTTTTTAACATTTTTTAAAACACCTGTGCGATGTTTATCTTTCTAAAATGGCCTGCAGGATATGTTTAATTTGAAAATTGGATTAAAACAAAACAGGTGGCCTAACGGTATGGGAATAAAGCCAGCGTTGATGTAACTGATGTTTCGATACTTATTTATATTGAAATAAAAAGTCAATATTGATTGTGGTAAAATAATTTAATCTCTCTTCTTTATACTTCAATTCAAAGCTCTTTGTATTTACAAAAACTTTACAACATTAAACTTATGTACAAATCACACGTTCGACATTTCACAACCATTAGAATAATAAAGTATTTGGCAGCTGTTAAAGTACTTAATAAATAAATCATCTCTCTATTTTCGCGATCTAAACCTGTACAGAGCCCAGAATGTCGGTTTGTTTGAAAAACACAAATATACGTCAAGTTGAGTAACTTAGAACTTAATGGTGCAGTAGGGCTAGCACGGCAGAACGCTACTTCTGCCAGAGCGACATAAAGCTCGAGATACTGTTATTCTCGCATAGAAAGCTCGAGATACTGTTATTGCGCTTTCGCGCAAGGTGCGCCTTGTTGTGCTAGCCCTACTGGAGAGATGATTTATCTCTTTCTAGAAAAACAAACAGCGCGTTGCTTGCAGTGGCAAACAAACTGTGTAACATAATATTAATATAGTGCCTAAGAAATTTATTGTCCAATTTAGTAGTCTTATGTTACAGCAATTGATGCGTACTTCTAGATCTTGTTCCAGCCAATGTGCCACTTAGTTGTGACGTCACAAAAGCTATTGTTTCTTTTAACTCTAACCTTCTGAATGTTTGTATTTTATTTTACAGTAGCTTTCGATTTTGATTTCACATTTTGTTCCCCTAATAGTAACATTTTCGAGACGCATTCGAAGCTTTACAAAAAACAGAGTAAAGTAAAGAGCACATCAAGTTTTGATCTTTAATCAAAAAATTTACAAATTTTACGTGTTTGTCAAATTTTTAAACCGATTTCAAAAAAAGGAGGAAGTTTTCAATTCGCCTGTATTTTTTGTGTATACTATGATACGCTAATACTCTGACAGTTGTGAACCGATTTCAATTAATATCATTTTGTTGAAAGAGGGGTTTGTTAGTTGAGGCCCCATTTTAATTTTAAGAAAATATTCCACCTTTAAGTATCACAAACTTGTTGTTTCACATTACTGGTTGGCGGTAGAAATTCGTAAGACGGCAGTACTTCCCTGATGGCAGTACACTCACAAGAAGCTCTACTGCTACTGGAAGGTATGTGATATCATGTCATATAAAGATTTGTCATGATTTCTGGCAAATGGCATATAAGGCTGGTGCCACGTTGTTAGTTCCCTAAAATATATTTTCGAAATTCGTCACTCTCTTATTTAAGGATATGACGTACATATCAACTGAAGTCTATATAAGAAAGAAATTTCATTTTCGATACAATTCATATAATCCAACGTAATATGTTTCCGAGAATTTGTTGACCTTAAACGTTTTATATATCAAAGGGAACTTGAAATCCAATAAAATAGAAAGTACAGTCGATGTTCTAAGATACCTAACCTTCGACCGACCTTTTGGTTCTAAAAGCCTATTACGTATCAACAGAAAAATGTAAATAAATTACAGCTTTTTGATTGAAATTTGTATTTATATAATGTAAATAAGTTTATTAAATGTCACGATGTTTTATTACTATGATATTCATTATTTTTTGTGAAATTACTCCACTAGTTTGTTACAATTATTAATACAAAGATCGAACACTAAGAAAAATTCCTTTGATCCGGCTGGATTCGAACCAACGCTTTCCAGCAATCCGTGCTAGACGCTCTGCCAATTAAACCACGGAACGAACCAGCAGACTTTACGAATCTATCTGCGTGCTTGTGGCAAATCTTTGTTTTTTTGTTTTTAACTACTTTTTTGCCGTAGCTCCATATGTGAGAAATCCATTTCTTTATCATTTATGTAATTAAAGATCAAATTTGACTTAAGAAGTTTCTTAAAACGTTATTCATTAACGATGCAATAAGGAAGTCATATCAAAATGAATTTTAAGCAGGTGAGGGGGTCAGGTATCTACGGGAGTCGACTGTACCTATACACTGCCACTTACTTGTTTATTTAAGCTTATGAATATAAGTCTAAAAAAGCACTTAAAGCTTGTATTTTGGTCACAATGCGTATATTCTAATGACTATCAATATATTTATTCAATATAATATATAACTACACTCAACTTATTGTATATATTTGTAAATTCGTTATCTACATAACAATTGTATGATTTTTGCGTATCTTTTTGAGATCTATCACAACGTGTTTTTTTTTTGTTGATGTATTAAAAAAGTAAAAAAAATCATAGGCACGTTATATTTCTTGCCTAATGTAATAAATTCTTAAATATTGGGGGCTATAACAACATGAGCGAAGGCTTATAATGTGGATGTCCTCTGTAGCAAAGTCAAAGGTCATTTGACAAATTTGAATTAAAATTTTTGGGCACTGGATGCGATGATCCCTATAGGATCATTTGGGAAACGAATTTTTCTAGATTGGTTCTAGACAGGATGTTCTAGGAAGTGCCCCAGAGTGAATTCCGTCGCTCTGGTACTTATAGCACAGGGAAGTCCCTACTTTGAGAGCAGGCAATTGGTAAGGTTGTCTGTACAGATGCTGTGCCACTCAGAGCTTAAAATCGGAAAGATCTAAGTGGCACTGACAATGTGCCCGTCACCCTGAGACATCAAGTTGACAAGTCCCCAGTATCTGTACTTTCGGCAGTACCCTTTGATAATGCTCATATTACTGCGTGGCGGCAGAAACAGGTATGGTTCCAGTACTTCCCTGAACTCTCTCTCTCTCTCAAGGAGCTATACTGTCTTTATGCAGAGAACATTATTTATGTGACTCCTTAGTACTCATCGAGTTTAGCATGGAGTATTAAGATACTTTCGTCTAATTATTATAAAAATGGAGGAACACTACAAGTTTAATTTGTTTCAATACGACTGCTGTGAAATGGTTAAAAAACAACGTTTTGCTCGCTTTTGCTTACAATTCGCATTTCGCGCAGTTGTATGGCATCCTTTTACTTGTAAAATTACACCAACTTCGAAAAGTTGACCAGAGAAAAAAATCACTTCGGAGACTAATTGTTCTTGAATGGTTTTAAGTTTTTATTTCTGTTTAACTTAATTTTCCTCGTAAACTGCTAAAGGATTATTTCAGCAAATTTCTATACCAATACAATCATAACTTCGTCTTTTCTCTGGCCAAAATTTTAACAAGAACCTTCGAGTTAAATATCACTCCGATTAAATTACGCTAACAAAGTTTCTGTTTTAAACTCTTTAAGAACTCAACTTTGACTAAAACGAAATTTTCAATACGCTAGCTCTGCTCCCCAAGGTCGGTAGGGCTTCGAACTATTTTGTGAATATTGGTGATGTGCTGGATGGTGCGGATATGGTGTGGGGTAGTGAGGAGCTGGAGGGGCGGGGTGAGGTCCCGGAGGAGCCGGTGGTCCTGGAGGATAGTGAGGGTACGTTGGAGCCGTAGACAAAGGTGCTATTGGTGTTGGTGTGGCAACAGTCGAAGCTGTTGACGCTGCGGGTTCATGTCTTGGCCCCAATTCTGTATAATTATGTTGGGGTTGCGTAGGTACAGGTGTTGAGGGGTATTGCGGTACAGGTGTTGAGGGATATCCCCAATTCGCAGACTTAGCGGCTAATTCTCTCTGCGCCGCGAAGCATTGAAGATGGCTCATGAGACGAAGGCGCAAAGGATCCTGGATATCCAGGCCTTCGCAGCTCACAAGGTACCGGGCAACTTCGGCTGCGCACTCTCGGAAACCGATGCTATGGTAGTCCATGGCGTAACGTTGAGGGTCATACGCGAACGTATCTAGACCTGTAATAGAGATAATGAAAGTTATTAAGGGAGGTCTAGGTAAAAATAATTCATTTTTGGCAAAAACGAGTTTGTGACCTTTCGACACTTAGGGGAAAAAGGGTGTATAAGCCAATTCTATTAGAAATGAGCAAATTTTCAAACTGTTTCGAGTCTTCCCAAGATTTTGTTATTTGCGAAAATATGGCATTTCTACATAAACATAAAAACAAAAAAGGCATGACCAAAACGTTTACAAAATTTAGTTTTTATTCAACTTGTAACTTTGTAGTTTGGCTTCTACATCCTTTCTTCCCCAAAGTATCTACCCCGAATATTTAACAAATATATTGTATTGATTATTTGTTAATTCTAAATTTAGTTTATTCAAATAGCGTAAGAAAGATTGTACTATATTTATTTTTGCATTTTAAGAAAACTAAAATAACATAATCTAAAAATACTTTAATTGTACAATTAAGCCGTGATATACGATATACGTGAAGTTATACTTAAATAAGAGTAATCAATTGCCATTTACGAATTTCCAACTTTAGCAAACAACATAAAGTACTTGCAAAATTGCTAAAAAAACAAAGAAAAAAGTTTCTAAAAAACACAATTACACAAAAACTACTGACTATATCGAGTTCTTAGGTTTTCGCGATTGTTACACATAGGAAATGAAACTATTTTTCCGGATTTAAATCGCGTATATTTGTTTTTTCATAGTTACAATACTTATTAATTAAATACCTTATTTTTAATTTTACACAGAAAACATTCCAATGTACGCTACATTAAGTTTTGCAAATTATTTTATTGAATGAATTTTTATTAAGTTCAATTAATTATTAATATATTAATAGAAATTAGAATAAACTAAAACATATTAATTAGTACTGCAGTCTTATGTCTGTTTGGGATTTTTCATTAGAGAAAATACTGGATCTCAAACTGGTGGTACGGAGAAACCATCTTCCCTGTTGAAATTAGGATGTATTTTTAATTTCAATGGCCTCTCGCAGCATCCCGGGTAGATAACGGACTTCTTTTGTAAAAACCTGGGGTTTGTCAAACTTCATTGAATGTGTAGGTTTATCCATGACATGCTCGCAGACTGCAGATTTGTTTACGCGACGGTGTTTGACATCAGCTATATGTTCTTTGACGCGGGTACAAATATAGAGTATCATCGCCAGTCACGTTCACGTGTTTTGTCTATAATTAACGCTTGCAAAAGGCAATTGCAACTGGTCGTCTTCTGTATTGCAACAAGTCAGTGCGAAGCTTTATATGTAACAATAATTCTGGATAATCAATATTACCGTTGGCGATTCTCATCAAAATGCACATGACATTCATTTGCCAACTTTTTTTATTTATTTGTTCTAATTTTACACCCAAAATTATCGTCATCATCAAAATAATGCGTCCCACTGCTTCTTCTTGTAGTACCGATTGTTTAGATTATAATTCTTGCCATGGTGGAGAAAGGATTTCCCAATCGCCGTATCCCGTGCGCCAAAATACAGATAAGGAATGGTGTACGTCGTGCTGTCGTAACTCCACAACCGAAATCATCTGTTTTTTATCATTAAAAAAGACAGCTCCAGGTAGGTACTTTAATCCAGGTGCATTAAATAATAAATAGAGCGAGATAATCGACGTAAATCAAGAAAACAAAACTTGCTTTCAAACATCCCCTTACAAGAATCCCCTAAACAGTGCAACAAGTTAAAAGACAGAGATAAAGAAACGAAATTTCAATAAGAATGAAAGGGAAATAAGATGCGGCATATGCAACGGGATTCTTGTTTCCGGACGTCCGTAGGGTTTACGAAACCAGATTGGTTTGACCCGCGATACCCTTCCGAGAGGAAATAAAGTGTATTGATTGGTGAAGAATTCATTCAGGGTTAGGAGATCTTGGTTTATGGGTTTAGACAGTGGGGCATTAGGGCAGGAGCAATAGGGTGTCGTAGTTGAATATTTCGGGGAAGTTTCGCCAATAACATTTGCAGTTACTCTTGTTGGAACTTTCGGATTTGAGTTGATGTTTAGTTACTTTTCTTGTGCAGTCAAGAGCATATCAAGCTTGACACTTTGGACTTTGTTACATTTTAATAAAATAAAATGATTTCAATTCAATTCAGTTGATTATCTTTCAAAAATTTTACAAATTATTATGATTTATTTACATTTAACAGAACTTTATAGAACTTGTTCTATTTCTGACTCTCATAATAATTCAATATATGATTTAAACCTAAGATGAAGGCATTGCTTATTCGGTACAACTCGGATGAAAATAACTTTAATAAGAAACTTTTCAAAGGTAATCCAGGAACGATAAGGCCACAATAACGAATAATAAAGCTAATATTAATGGATAATGATAGACATAGTAGTAACAAAGCTCCCAATATAAGGTCCGATTTGTATCCTTTAATTGTCAAGGTGTTAAGCGTTCACTGGCGGATATTAGAGAAATACGAGTATGTAAGAACGCAGATATAGTCGCGCTCCAGGAAACCTGGCTGCTATCGTATGATACACCTCTGCTAGGTACTATTAGTGATGATTTTGAGTACACGGGTAAGTCAGCGGTCGATCAGTCTGAGGGCCCGCTAATTGGGCGGCCTTACGGAAGTGTGGCTATCCTCTGGAAAAAAAAGGAATTTTTAAATCGATTTCCGTAATCAACTGTACCAGTGACAGCTTGACGGCTATTAGGGCAACTATGTTTAGTAATAAATACATTATTATATGCAGTATTTACATGCCCACCGAAAAACTTAGTAGCCTTCCCACGTTCGCGAATTGTTTGAGCGAACTAGGTGCGATAGCGGAAAATAATAATATAGAGGCTATTTACATGTTAGGCGATTATAATGCTCATCCAGGCGCCATGTTTTGGAATGATCTTTACAATTATTGTATAGAGCAATCGTGGGTGTGTGCAGACACCACAGTGTTAAATATAGATTCTGACACACACACTTATGAAAGTAAGCAGAATGGTAGTTTGCGATGATTAGATGGCGTACAGTTTGCGGTGTAAGCGTGGCTTGTGATGTCTATTGGTCTGATCATAGGCCTCTTATTGTGGAATATAATTTAAACATAATACCACTTAAGTTAGAAATGACAAACGCAGTGCGTAACAGGGTGCTTTGGGGTCAAAAATCGAATGATCAGATAGATAGATATCACGAACTATGTAATAAGTAAGAAGTATTTGAAAGAGATTCAATATCTAGATTCTTTCAGAAGTTGTGGTGAAGGTAGATGTGCTGAACACTTTCATAAGCAGGTGCTGGATGAGCTGTATAAAAACATCGTGTCTATATTGTCTGAAGCTTCAGCTGTGACTGATGAAGCGGATAACATAGGTAAACGGCGTGTGGTTGTTGGGTGGAATAAACATGTAGGTACGTAGTGCGCATGAGCAGGCTCGACTTAAATATCAGATCTGGGTTCAGTACAACAAACCCAAAACCGGTACAGTTTGCCATGAAATGCGTGAAAGTTAGAGTCGAGCCAGGCTAAAGTGGTGTCAGAAAAATGAGAAACAGATCAGAATGGATATGATAGCAGCGCATAGAGCCTCCAAGAACTTCGTCCAGTTTTGGAAGTTGACCAATAAACTGAACGTTAAGCCGAGTTTGCCTACAACTGTGTCAGGCTGCAACACTGAGGGAGACATAGCTAACATGTTTATGGGCAAATTTTAAGTTTCTTCCCCGCTAGCTATGCTACACAGGCCGCTTGATGCTGGGACCGGGAATGGGCGAGAGGTTTTGCATTTTTCGGCTAAGCAGGTGGATGAGGTAATAAGGTAAATGACAAGAGGAAAATCTCCAGGTCACAACGCTCTCAGCATCGAGCACCTGAAATGTGCGAGAGTGCATCTTCCCAGAGTGTTGGCTATCTATGTTCTTCTCTCTGTGTATTAGGCATTCTCATTTGCCGCCTGAAATGCTTAAAACTATAGTGGTGCCAGTAGTTAAAAATAAAACGGGAGATATTGCCAGTCATGAAAATTACCGTCTGATATCGCTGGCCACAGTTGTTGCTAAGGTGTTGGACAGACTGCTGGATAAATATTTGGATCTGCACGACGCTCAGTTCGGCTTTAGGCCAAGGCTTTCCACAGAAAGCGCCATATTATGTCTTAAGCAGACTGTCCGATACTACACGGAGAGATGACGCCGGTGTACGCCTCTTTTCTTGATCTATCTAAAGCTTTTGACTTGGTGGTTTATAACACTCTCTGGGACAAGCTCGAGAAGGCAGGCAGGCAGGTACAAACGGACCTGATAAGTGTGCTAAAGTGCTGGTACACGAACCAGCAAAATAATGTAAGATGGGGAGGGGCTTTCTCGGATGCATACAGGTTGGAGTGTGGGGTGAGGCAGGGGGGTTTGACCTCGCCGAAGCTTTTCAACCTGTACGTAAACGATCTGATCGTTTGACTCAGCAGTAAGCCTGTCGGATGTCGTATCGACGGCATCAGCGTAAATAACATCCAACGATATGGTGCTGGTGGGTCCAACGGCGGGCTCAATTGCGGAGCTCCTTCGGTTTTGTGAGCAGTATTCAAGTACTCATGGCCTTGTATAAAATTGTGTCAAGAGTGAGTTTATGGTCTTTGGGATCCCCGGTAGAGTGTGTCTTATGAACCTAAAATTATTCTAAATGAGGTAGCGCTAAAGAGGGTAAGCACATTGAAATAACTAGGACATTACTTGGCGGAGGATCTAAGAGACCAAACTGACATTGATTGTGAACGTAGGGCGTTGGCTGCCAGATGTAATATGTTGGCACATAGATTCGCCCGCTGAAGTGAGGAAGCCAAAATAACTTTATTCAAGGCGTATTGTCAATCCTTCTACACGGGTGGTCTATGGGTTAACTATAACGGCTTCAGGATGCTGTTGGGACTACCGCCACATCGTAGCGCATTGTCGATGTTTGCTCAAGCAGGAGTAAACGACTTTATTGCTGTGATGCGAAAA